ATTTTTTTGTAAATTTGAAGTACGAGTTATATGACTACATTTTATTACCATAAGAGATCTTGTATGTAGTATCATAAGCCAGTCAAAATTCCATTGGAGGTAAAAATCAAAATATCCCAAAACTGGGGAATGAATATTATGGGGAATATTATGTCACATTATATGATTGAATCCTATTAAACCATTAAAAATGTTTATGAATCTTACCATTTTAATGACATGAGAAAACGCTTCTCATGATACAAAAATGAAATGTAATTAAAGTCAAAAGAACAGGGTATAAAATAGTATATAGAATATGATCTCAACTTTGCTAAACAAAGTCCAGAGAAAATAGATTGGAAAGGGGTACAGTCATTTCTCATTATACTTAGGGATAGGGAAGACTGATTCCAGAGGTTCCAAGACCCCTGCATATACCAAAATCCAAGCACACCCAGGTCCCACAGTCAGCCTGCAGAGCCTGCCTATACAAAAAGTCACCCCTCCATATGTGGTTTTGCATCCTGGAATGCTGCATTTTCAATCCACGTTTGGTTGGAGAAAGTCCACATATGAGGGGACCCACATGATACAAACCCGCATTGTTCTAGGGCCAAGTGAATACCAAAAAGTTAACACTGATACGCTGTGAATGGTATATGCATAAGAATATATAAATGTGTATATGCGTATATTCTTTCATATATATGTGAAGAACTCATATATGTTCTTCACATGTACACATATATACACATACATGTTCACCTTTTTGAACAATGATCATACAATCTGAAAAAATAGATTTTTAGTAAATAAAAGTTCATTTTCTAGGCTTTATATTTTTAAATATCAATTATGTTAACATGATTTCCATTTAAATAGTATCTTCCCTCTGTATATTTTTTCCAACACCTTTGGTAAATGTCTTCCTTACATGCTCTATCTGTACATTCCAAATGAGTTTGGCCTATCTCCAGGTTTAACTTGATTTCATCTGTTTTTTATTTATATGTAAATATTCTAAGAGCATGGGTTTGCTAACTCTAAGCCAAATAGGGCTTCTCCAACACTCTTCTTAATTCTAAGTACCAGAGGACAGAACATTCATCTTCATAGTACCTAAAATTGGTCCTTGAGCAAGTAAACATTTAAAAAAATGCTTCTATCTGACCTTCACCTGGGCACTGCTTTTTCATCTTGTGGACCCTATCTCTTCACTTAGTTGCTAGGAAGCTCCAGGCTAATGAGTGCTCTCTGGCCAATGGACACAAGCTCATGGCAGGTGTTTTGATACTATTAATAACTTCACTCCTGACTTCCGCTTCACCCTCCTATTCTTCTCTTTGTTCCATATTCCAAATCCACTTATTATTTTATTTAATTTTATATTGAAAATATTTATTAAAGTATCTTAAATTCTAATTTCGAAACGAGAAAAAATTGTCTTCCTTTCTTGTAAAAGAAGGGATGATAGTACATATACTACTGATAACAGAACCAGTTCTTTGGGATTAAAATGAGAAATAAGGATTATAAATTAAACAATCTTTTAGTTGCTACATCTCTTCATAAAGATAAAAATATTGTTTTTCATTTCCACATAGTTCTCAAAAGAGAACTGGAGCCAGGTACAGTGGTATGTGCTTGTAGTCCCAGCTATTTGGGAGGGTGAGGTGGAAAGACTGCTTGAGTCCATGAGTTTAAGGCCAGCCTGGGCAACATAGCAAGACTTTGTCTGAAAAAAAAAAACACACACACACAAACTGAATTTATATAATATCTTATGAAATCTTGACCACTCTGATATTGGCTTCGTCACTGCAGGACTTAAAGCTTATATATTATTCTCTGAACAAGCTCCTTTATTTTTCTTCTTCCCATAAACTACCTGTTGCTGGTACCATTCAAAGAGTCTCCAAATGTTAGATTATTGCTTCCTATTTCCTATTGCCTCTACTGGCGGGGGTGAGGAGGGCAAAGTAACTGCCCCCCTCCACCAAATATTATTACATATTCTTTTCAATAAACTGGATATTTTTCTTCCATTTTCTGTATCTAAAAATAAAAACTGATGTTAAAGGGCAAATCTCCAAATCAGGAAGATTCTATAAAAACACAGAATTAAAGGCAAACTGTCTATCTTACCAAAATGAGGCTCAAAAGAAAAATGGTTGTGCATTTTTAATATCAGAGAACTCCAGCAACCAACAATGTTTTAAAGGTGCCATAAGCTCCATGGAGTACTAGAGTAGCATTCAGTATTTAATAGCAACCCGCTCCACAGGGCCAGCAGCAAAAAGGATCTTGCTGCAATAGCACAGTAACCCCCGAGGCAGCATGCTAACAGAGAAGTGAGGGAGTACAGTGAGCAATGGTCTAGCAGAGACCTGCTGCAGGCAAAGGCAACAGCAGCACAATCAGTGTTACTACAGTGGAGAGGGCGAGAGGGAAGTCAGGTGACTTCAGAGAAGTAGTCACAGGCTAGATCACACAAGACTTTAAGTCGTGTGTGTGTGTGTGTGTGTGTGTGTGTGTGTGTGAGATTCTGATGAGAAGCCACTAGAAGGTTTTGAAGGGAAATGAAATGAGTATGTATGACAAAAATCACTGCTATTTGGAAAATACTGTAGAGAAGCAAGGGTAGAAGCAGAGACTTCTCAATCATGTGGGTAGAAGAGGACTGTGGCTTAGCTTAGAGAGGAAAGGAGAGGTGGGCAGATTTGGGATCTTCTGTTTAAGGTAGAGTCAACAGAATTTGTTGGATGCTTGGATGCAGGGTCTGACCTAAAAAGAGAAGTCAAGAGTAATTTCCTAGAATTCCAGCCTACTTGAATGGCAGTAACTGAGGCAGCTTGATATATTGAGGGGAAACAGAGGGAGGACTTGACGGATGTGGTGTCAGGAGTTCTGTCTGTCCATACTAAATTTAAATGCCTATCAGATTTCCAAGTGGAGATGCTGAGTAAGCAGATGAATATACACATCTGGAGCTCAGAAGAGAAGTAAAGCTAGAAATAAAATTTTGGAAGTCATCAAATTATAGATGTTATTTATAGCCAAGGAATATGGCTTGGGATAGAAATTGCCTTGAGACACAGTACGGCCAATAACTGAACTCTGTGGCACACTGACATTTAGTGATGGAGAGGCCTGGCGACACAATGAAGCGAAATGAAATGCAGGAGAATGTGGTAACCTGGAAGCCAATTGAAGGAGAAAGAATATTAGTGAAGAACATTAATGAAGAAGAGAGAATATTAAGGAGGAGGGAGTGATCAAATGCTACTGAGCGGTCAGGAAAAATGAGAACTGTGAACAGACATTGGATTTCGCAGTCATTGGCAATGTCAGGACCATGTAGGGGTTAATGGGGACAAAAAAACCTCAGATGAGAGCAGGTAGGAAGAAACAGAGGAAATGAAAATAGAGACTTAGAGGCAAATTTTCAAAGAGGATTTTTTGTTTGTTATAAAGAGAAGAAAAGAAGTGGAGCGGGACCTAGAATGGGATGTGTGGTCTAGGGAGGATTAAAGGCAAGAGATTTAACAGCAGATATTTGTTAAATGAATATGTTTTAAGAATACCATAGGGGCCGGACGCGGTGGCTCAAGCCTGTAATCCCAGCACTGTGGGAGGCCGAGGCGGGTGGATCACGAGGTCAAGAGATCGAGACCATCCTGGTCAACATGGTGAAACCCCGTCTCTACTAAAAATACAAAATATTAGCTGGGCATAGTGGCACGTGCCTGTAATCCCAGCGACTCAGGAGGCTGGGGCAGGAGAATTGCCTGAACCCGGGAGGCGGAGGTTGCGGTGAGCCGAGATCGCGCCATTGCACTCCAGCCTGGGTAACAAGAACGAAACTCCACCTAAAAAAAAAAAAAAAAAAAAAAAAGAATACCATAAGGACCAAACGACTCACCAGATAGGTGTACATGATTCAACAGTGTAAACATGGTTTATACTTCAAGTTCCATACTGTAAGACGTACATGTCACATTCACTTTGCTTCAAATGTAGGTGTCAATATCATATACGTGCTTATCTACTTTCTGATTTGAACGCGATATAAAATGGAGTTGTTTAACTCGATTTGTAACCAACCACTTTAAAATATTAAAATGTAAGGACTGATGGGCTGATTGTTGCAGCAAACCACCATGGCACACGTTTATCTACGTAACAAAACTGCACGTCCTACATATGTATCCCAGGACATCAAATCAAATCAAATCACATCATAATAAAAGAAATAAAGATTCTGGAAATCGAGATTACCAAATTAAAACTTTCAGAGGTAGGGGGTATGCGTTTTAAACAAAAGTCCCAAATGCGTCTTACCATCAGGCTTGTTTTTAGTATTCCTTACTAATCTAAGGAATAATAAACACTTGGAAAAAGACAAGTTCTCCTACTTTGTAGATGTGCAATATGGGTTCAGGGGCTGACAGTTCAAGTCTATATTATGGTGTATTTTTACCTCCAGATCATGTAGCCTTTCTCACCCTTGTTTCCCAAAATTGAAAGGATAATTTAAAAAAATGGTAAATGTAAGAATATTTTAAAATACTTTCTTTAAAAAAAAAATTACTACTGTGGAAAACTGGAGAGGTCCTAATATACTGAAAACTAGCTCACAGCTGCCAGTCCAAATTATTTTTATTTAATTAGCTTTGGACAAAAAAAACAAGTAGGAAACCCCATGCAGAAGCCTCCAGCATTGGCTCGGCATGCCTGACAGGGGCTCACGCAGACTCTTTAGAGCATTTAAGACTCTGGGCTATTTGCTTATGGTTCTGAGGTGTCTTTTCAAAAATGGGTTTGCTAGTCAAAATGAAACAAAAAGGCAGCAAGCTGTGTGGATTTTCCCTTCGGAGAAAGCCAAGTGATGGAAAGGCCGGGCCGGCCCCCCAGCGACAGCGGCGCCTGCACCCCCGCCATCGGCTCGGATGGGAGGTAGTGCGAGCGGCCTGGCCCCCAGCCCACCCCGCGCCCCGACCGGGGAGCCCGGCACTTGCCTGCTGGTGAGCGCGCGGCTCCTGCGTCTTCCCTTCCGGCGGAGCGCGACCAGGCGGTTGGCGTCTTGCGCCGGGCGTTGAGAGGCTGGGGCGCCTCCTACGCGGCGGGCAGCAACCCCGTCCCCGCTGCCACCGCAGCCTGCACCCCTTCGCGCTCGCGGAGCAGTTCGCTCGTGAGTCGGCGGCCCCACGCCTTTGCAGACGCGCTGCCTCAGCCCTTGGAGGTCTTCGCTCACCAGGCCTGACTGCCGTCGGCACCTGCCCCGCCGCTCTCGAGGGGTCGCTCGAGGGCGGGCTGCTGCATTGCCAAGGCAGGCCCCACCCGGGACGTGGCGCTGAGGGCCGGGGCAGTACAGCTACGAGTCAGGGGTTAACGTGGCGGGAACACTCGGTAGAAGGAAGGAGCTCGCAAAGAAGGGTGGAGGAGGGGAAACCGCAATGGGGAACTGTCACCAAGGCTAGTGGACTCTCCCTGCTTTTTTTTTTCTTTGGCATGTACCCCCCAAAGCCGGACGTCAAGGGCCAGAAAAGTCTGGAAAGGAATTCCACCGTGTTTGCCCCTTACAGACCAGACAAACCCCTAGACCCTTCGGAGGTACAGAGACTCTCCTGGTTCCCTAAGACAGTCTCTTGACTTTTCCTGTCCCTTTACAGCTCTCTCACTTGACTACCGCAGCCAACCCTACCCCTGACTAGGGTGTGCAGCACATCAGCCCCTGCCCCCAAAAACTACCCTGGGAAAGATCCCTTTTTTCAAGTTCGTTCTCCACAGCCGAACAGATTGGAACGCCACTGAGTATCAAGAGAGAACAAAAAAGCAATTAGGTAAATAAAGCGTAAGAAGCCTTATAAAGCCCCAAACACCCAATCCTAGTCATAATCTAAGAGCCCCAGTTCAGAAATCTCCCTCCCCTTTTAATTCTCAGGCAATCTCTACTCCCTGTCAAAGGAGACCCAGTTACTGAATCTCAGATGAGACCATGGATAATAAATTCGGAGTGAAGGTCCATACCTGAGTCTCAGAAACACAGTACAGGTAAAGCTAAGAATTATTTCCTCCCTTTCCCCATCCAACAACAGGACGGCTTATTGAAGGTAGGCACTTCAGGTAGTAGTTACTTGGTGTGCTGCAATGTAGTCAGAAATGCCCTATTATGTACCATGTCAACACAATTCATTATCCAACAGTTGATTCTCCAACTGCTCCACCTCCCAACAATTCTACCTAAACTCTTTGGGTAAACAGTGGCTTCCTAAATCCAACTGATACTTTTGTTGCCCTCATTTTCCCTGGGAGTCTCTCTTTGGGGATTGACAAAGTTGACTGTTGTCTTCCAACACTGTTTCCTTGATGTTGACAGCCCCACTTTGCCTTTATGCTCATCCTGCTTGTTAACATTCTTTCAGTTTCCTCTGCCTGTTCCTCTTTCTCTGGCAACCCTGCAAAATCAATGCTTTTTAAGCTTTTCCACTGAAATACCACCCATGACAGATTCCATAACCATGTACTTCCCTATTCACCACTTAAGAACCTGAAGTCACTAGTGTCAAGGGCACATTTACTTGAAGTGTTCCATCTTCTTTTAAATTGCTCGAAATTTTGCATTCTTCTTCATAATATTGTCACATGTACTAAAAAATAAATTGGTTACAAGTTTAATTGCTTAACATTTTCTCTCCAAATGTTCAAGAAAATGCATCAGTCACTTATGCCACATATATTTAGATTACATTCTATGTGCTAGGCATTAGGGATATTGTGTGAACAGCAGGCACAGTCCTAGTTCTCAAGGAGATTTTATTGTCCAATCTGGGAGACAGATACATAAAGAAGTGAGACAATTTCTTTTTCTTTTTTTTTTTTTTTTTTTTTTACTTTTTCTAAATTTTAGTCTATCCAGTCCAGGAACACACGTAGTATTGATTTTCATGTCCCTTTACCTTTTTCAGTCTGAAGCAGTTCTTCTAATCTTTCTTTGCCACTCACGACCTTGGCATTTTTGAAAAGTATGGGACATTTATTTGGGAGAATGTTACTCAATTTGAGTTTCTCTGATGTTTTCCCTTGATCAGATTTAGGTTATGCATTAGAATAGCATAGAAAGGATGCTTTGTACTTCTAAGCATATCATGTCACGAAGTACATGATACTGATTTGTCCTTTTACTGGTGAGGTGAACATTGATCATTTGATCAAGGGGTTGGCAGCCAGGTTTCTTCAATGTAAAGTTACTATTTTTCTGTGTTATTTATAAGCAATTTATGAGGAGATACTGTGAGACCATGTAAGAATTCTGTTCAGCACACTTTCACCCACTAAGTTTTACATCCATCAATGATTCTTGCGTGGATCAGCTAGTATTGTGATGATTGGCAGGTGGTAATTTTTTAGCTCCATCAATCCTTCTACATTTAGAGGTGAGACAATTTCTGATCCGTGCATTGATATGGGGACAGGGAATCTTCCTGGTGGGCAATTTCTAGCTATAAACTTGGTTATTCCCATTCAAGAAAGGAGGGGATGACCTGACAAACTGATAAATATACTGACTTATAGGCAGTGTCTAATAGATCATGCAGCTTTTAGGTTCTTGGAAAAATGAAATGGAAAATTTGTAAAAGATCTGTTGGTTAGACTTAAAGATAAGCCTCTTGGAGTAGTGAGATCATGTTAAGATATTCATGTCCCACATAAGTGCCTAACAGGATGCATCAGGTGGAGATTTGCAATAAGGGGAACAAGATGAATTGTCTGGTGGATGTCAGTCTTTTTCTCCAGCCAACCCAGGGCTTGGTTAATGGGCCCATTTACCAAGTGGCCATCACAGCAGTGACTATTCAGTTGACTCTGACTTTATCAAAAGGGAGATTATCCCAGGTGATTCTGACCTAACCAAGTGAACCCTTTCTGGCCTTCTCTGAAACAGATTCTAGTCAGAAGTTTTGCTGACTTTAGAAAGGCAAACAGTCATGTTGTGCACTGCTTATATAGAAGAGCAGCCCTAAGTAGCTGAAGACCTCAGTTCTACAGCTTCTAGGAACTAAATTTTATCAACAACCTGATTAAGTTAGAAGAGAACTGTGAGCTCTAGATGACAATGCAGTTCAGCTGACTTCACTGCAGTCTTATGAGACCCGAAGCAGAAGACCCAGTTAAGCCATGCGGAGACTCTTAACCCCAAGAAATTGTAAGATAATAAAATTATGCTGTTATAAACCAGTAAATCTATGGTAATTTGTTACTCAGCATAGAAAACTAAAACAAGAGATAAAATAGCACTTGGATGGAAATCTATAGCTTTAAATATGTAAATGAGAATAGAAAGTCGAAAATTTGAGGAGCTAACCATCCACTACAATATGGCAAATTAACATGGAAAGAAAAAGCTGAAATCACTAAAACAGAAAAGAATACAACAAAGAAGAAACAAAAATACTGGCTTTAAAAAAAACTTGTAATAAATGTGATAAACCTCTGGCAAGACTAGTCAAGGAAAAAAGATACAAGGAATACAAAGGGTACCATCCTTACAGATCTGGCATATGTTAAGTATACAAGAAAAACACAGTACTAATAAATTTGAAAGTGTAGACGAAATGGAAAGATTCATAGGAATATGCAATTTACCAATATTACATAAGAAACAGAAAAGCTCAACCTTATTAATAAAAAGAAATTGAATCAGCATCCTATAAAGAAGACACCAGACCCCAAGCACACTTTACCTACAATTTCTAATAAACAGTCAAGGAAGAAGTAAATATTATATACAAGCTTTCCCAGAAAACAGGAAAAGAAAGCCACTTTCCAACTCACTTTATGAGGCTAAGCCAGGCTTGATATTAAGCAAAAATCTTAAAAGAAATCCAGCTATTAAAAATAAACCACATCATGCCAGGTTGTTTTTACCCTAGGAAGAAAAGGCTGGCTTAACAACAGGAATCCAGTTCATGTAACTGACCACATTCAGAGAATAAAGGCAGAAAAATCATGATTTTCTCAATAGAGCTTTTTAATAAAATTCAAAATTTTCTATCATTTATGATTATAAAAAACTCTAAGCAAACTAAAGATAGGTGGAGTATTTCTAAATTTAATAAAAATACCATAAAATGCTTACAGGATACTTTGAAAGCATTCCCAGAAAACAGAAACAAAACAAGAATGCCTACACATAACCTATTCAACATTATACTGGAGGTCCCTGCAAATGTAATTAGGCAAGAAAAAGTAAAGAAAGGGAGAATAGAATGACAGACAAATCTATCATTACTTATAGAAAGTGCAAAAGAATGTATAAATTACTAGACTTAACAGAAGATTTTTGCAAGTTTGCTGAATGGAAAAATTAAAGTTTTTCCACATACCAACAAAAAATTAAAAACTTAAAAGATATCATTTATAATGATAGCATCAAAAACATAAAGATACAAGAAAGTAAAATTAACGAAGTATATGTATACAGTATTTCTATGAAGACAATTATGATTTTATTCAAAGATACAATGGAAAGAAATTAACTCACCAAAAAATGCCCTATTATAAAGAATTTGTTCACAGGTAAAATACAATCCCAATCAAAATCCCAACAATTTTGTTTTGTTGAAATTCCAAAATTTGTATAAAAATTCAAAGAACTGATTACAGCCAAAATCTTGAAGAATAAGGTATAAAAAGACTTATTTTACCAAATATCAAGACTTAAAAGCTGCAACAGTGTGTTACTGATATATGGGCAAACTGATCAATGTAATAAAAGAGAGCCCAAAAACAGACTCATGTAAATATGAGCATTTCACAGATGACAGAAATGGCATGTTCAACCAATTGAGAAAGATGGTTTTTCAAGAAATGAAGGGGGGAAAAAAAGAACCTGGATACCTACCTCACCCACAAAATAAAATTCAATTTAAGTAGAAGACAAAACTACACATATTTTAGAACACAGTATAGAAGATATTCATGACCTAAGGGAAGTATTTTTTTAAACAAGACAAACACACCAAAAATATAGAAAAACATGGATAAATTTCACTAGGAGCAGAAAGATAAACTGTGAGAAGACATTTGAAACAGTTATAACCAAATGATTAAGTATTCTTGGTACATGAAGGAATTTTATTAACTTAAAAAAGTCAAATTTTAAAAAATGGACAAATGATTTAAACAGCAACTTAGCAAAAAGGGGAAATCCAAATAGTAAATTTGAACAAAAAAATAATTAACCTCATGGAAATGCAAATTAAGCAACAATGAGGTACCATTACAAGCCCAGATTTTCCAAAGTTTTACAAATGTGGAACCTTCTAATGCTGCTGGTGAAAGCACTGATTAATTACTTTGGAAAAGTTAGGTATTACCTAGTAAATTTCAAGATACATATATGACTCACCAATTTCATTGCTAGATGTATTCTCAAGAGATCATACACATGTACAACCTGACATATATACAGGGATGTTCATAGTGGCTTTGTTCGAAATAGCAAAAAAGGCAGAATGATCCAAATGCCTTCATGGAAGAGATACATAACGGTGGTATATTAATGATAAAACAAAAACTATAGCGATATGCATCATCATGGATGATGCTAAATGTTCAGCAAGTCACAGAAAAGTGACATTTCTATTTATTAAATATAATTTAATACTTTATTAAATTTTATTAATGTTTACTTCTATCTGATTGTTAGACTACTTTTAAGGAATGCAGACATCCGTACTACTCGAAATGTGGTCCCATACTGATCCTATACTGATCACCTGTCATTGGTTGATGGAGAGAGAAGCACATAAAGTGAGTAAACATGCATAAACTTTAGAAATGCTGACAGTAATCTGACAGTGCCAGTACATTCAAGTACATGATTGTGTATTTACAAAAATATCAGTTTATGATAATTTCGCAATTAAAAAAAAATGTGAGAACTAGTATACTTAACTGGTAAAAATACGAAGAAAAGATTATTTGCATTACAAGCAGAACATTGGTTATCATGTCTCTTGAGGTGATTCAGGAAACTGACCAGGAAAGGATACATAGGAGCTTTCTAAGGTATTCACAATGTTATATTTCTTTACCTGAGCATTGGATATATGAGTATCTGTTTTATAACTTTTCTTCTCATTAAATTGTACATCCCGAATGTGGTCTTCTATATAATTTCACAAATGTAAAAGTGTAAAAATTTGTTATGGACAGTACAATACCAATTTCTTTAAAAAATACAAAAATATCTATAAAAACTGAAATACACCAAAAAGAATGATGGAATTATGGGCAGACTTTGGTATCTGAACAATTACTTATCAAATTCTTACGCTGTTGCCTTTTCAAGATAGTAGTGATCATGAGGAATCCTCCAGCACTAAAAACAGAGTATGCCAGACCAGTGTCACTTTTGTATCTAAATTTCAGCAAGGAAACTGCTTCCTAATGATAAAAATAGGATAACATCCTTGTATTTTCCTCCAGAATTTGGAAATTCCTGAGATGGAAAAGTTAGTCAGGAGATCAAATATCACTTTTACTGTTAACAAAATTAAAGAACGTGTTTTTCAATCTGTAGCAAGAGGGACTGGTTAATACCCATATCCATAAACTGGAGATAAACCGCTCAATTACTGGCATAGTCACATAACCAGGGCTTCTGCTGTGGGGAGATGATGTAAAACTCCCTAAGGAATAAGTCTTCTGACCTTCATATTCTCTTATTCCTTTAGTACTCTGTAAATATTGTAGACCCTTAGAGTCCATTCTGCTCCATTACCTGTGTAACATTAGTTGCTCATACAGCTATCCCATGTACGCCAACTAGGTTATGTTCCTGGTGGTCAGACTGTCTTATTCATTTTTTTTTTTTTTTCCAGACCAAGTCCTGCTCTGTAGCCCAGGCTGGACTGCAGTGGTGCAATCCTGGCTCACTGCAACCTCCGCCTCCTGGGTTCATGTAATTCTCTTGCCTCAGCCTCCCGAATAGCTGGAATTACAGGCAGGCGCCACCGTGCCCCGCTAATTTTTGTGAATTGTAGAGACAGGGTTTCACCATGTTGGCCAGGCCGGTCTCAAACGCCTGACCTCAGGTGCTCTATCTCGGCCTCCCACGGTGCTTGGATTACAGGCATGAGCCACCGCGCCCAGCCTGTCTTATTAATTTTTGAAAATTCTAGCAGACCATTATGTACATGACAGACATTCAAACACTTTCATAGTTGTGTCATGTATTGTTCATATAGGAGCCACATAAATAGAAGTCATAGTAAGGACTTTAGGAACTAAAAAAAGACCAAGAGACCAGAATTAGACTAATGATAAAAACAGAATTACTAAGTGCTTGTATATGCTAGGCACTGATCCTCAGTGTTTCATAAACATTTCATTCTCCTTACACCAGATGGCAACACCTTAGCAGCAGATGGAAAACAGAAATATATGGTTAATCAAATCCAAAGTCACACAACCATGACTTGAATTGGGCTGTGACTCCAAAGCCAAAGCACTGAACCACTGCTGAGCTATAGTGAAATCAAGATAGCTAAGCCTTCAGAGATCTATCCTTAATTGTCTTTTTGTAAGGCAGTATTACACAGTGCTTGAGAAAGAGGGCTCTGGAGCCAGACTGCTATGGTTCATATTCAAACTCTGCTAATTACTGTGTGAGATGAGATTTCTGAACCCCTCTATGCCTCAGTTTCCTCATCTATAAAATGGGAGTAATATCTTTATTGCATGGAATCATTGCAAAGATTAAATATGTCAATACAAATACTCAGCACAGCACCTAGCACAAGGTAAGCATTCAATAAATGTTAACCTATATTTATAGTTATTTCCCTGTTGTTTTTGGAGAATTGTGCCCAGGAACCAGACTGTCCCCTCTGACCACATTATTAAGAAAATCACTGATACAACTGGGTATTACACAACCTAAAGTTAATTTACTTAAAAATTAAGACCTCTTTGGAGCAACTGTTGATTTAAATGCCTTTGAACTACACAACCTTTCAGTAAGGAATGCAAAGAGGAGGTTAAAAATTAGGCAGTATAGACGTGGTATTTCTCTTTCACTTTCTTTTTTGGACAGTCCCTCAGATATTTTTTAATAAAATACCAAATAAATAATCACTCGCATTATAGAACTGTACTCCAGGATTTAAGTTTCTAAGGAGCTTTAGAAAGATTTAAATCCTGACAGAAATGAGTGAAGTCAGTTTGTTGAAAGATTTTTTTTTTATTCTACAAGAAATTGGTAGGTGCAATCCTGTTAAAGAAATTTCTTGTTTTCAAAAGTAAATGAAAAACCCCTCTGAATTATTCATATATTAATTTAATTTTTGAAAACAATAGTCATAGGGCCTGCTTCGTCCTATTTAACTATAAATGTTACACATTTACAAACTAAAACAAAAACGCATCGTACAGAGATTTAAATGAAATTTAAAAGAATAAATTTGCTTTTCAGTCCACTGTATTTTCAAAGTTACTACCAAGCTTGGATGAAAGTTGTGAACCACAAACCATTTGTTTAATAGAAAAAAAAAATGTGTAGATTATTAGCAAAGTAATACCTTAAAATGTATCTTCACACAGTTGCAATTTTAGTATAAACTTATGTATCAAGTTGCTTTCCATTATTTATTCTACTTTAAAAATATATACAACTATGATGTTCAAATATGTATTCTGAGCCATTACGTCCAAACATAAATATTTGGGAAATTCAAACTGCTGCAACACATTAGGAAAGGATTAAGGAAAAATGATGAGCTACAAATTATGCAGTTGGAGGAAGAAAAAAACATTACTTAGCATTTATGTCTGGATAGGTATGTATTTTCTAATTTACATATACATATCCAGTTGAGCATAAACAACCATCAAAATTTAACCAGTTACATAGAAACTAGACTCAGCCTACACTATTTTGTATAACAGGTTAACAGTAGTGATTTCAAAAATTTTAATATATCTCAATAGTTTCACCAAAAATTATTTGTGGTAATATTCTAGTATTACGAAGTTTTGAGAGGTACAGATTAAATGAGTGCACTATCTATGCCAAACTCAGTAAGATCTATACCTTACTGCTTAATTATGGTGTAAGTATCTGAACACAATAGCACAGAGGCGCAACCAGAAAAGGACATTTTACATATGCCCATGCTGATCAATCACATTAACATTAGTGCTTACAACTCTCAAATTTAAATAGACAGGGACACTTATAAAGCTGCAGGACAACTTCAATACAATAACCAAAATTGATAAATCTGCAAAATCTTAAACTTTACTTCTTAATCCATTGATAAATATTATTTAAAGAGTAATTATTTGGTCTTCAAAAATCTTAAAAAATTAAAGGGTTGAAAACATGTTCACTCTGCTATACTGTGGCATCTGAAATTACCAAGCATGACAACTTGAATTTGTTTTGTTCTTACATGCAAGAAGTGTATATATGCATTTTAAGATAGCTTAGAATTAAGAGTTAAACTTTAGTCAGTAACGGTAAGTGAGTAGGATGGCTATCCAATCTGTATTCTATGGTATCACATATCAAAGTCTCTACGACATGACAATCTTGTTCAGAACTCATCACCTTTGGGTAGAGAAGAGAGGCATGGCAGAAAAGCAGTTGCAATTAAAAAAAAAAAAAAAACAGCAGAAAAGCTTTAAATATCTATACAATTTTGAATCATCTTGTATTCTATCAGATAATACTCAGAACAAAATCTTATTTCAGTCAGCTCAATCTACACAAGTTATAAGATGCAAACACAATGTAAACTCTATAGTGTACAGAATATGCACTATTTAATACTAATTAAATAAAGAACAGTCAATGAAGATTACCAAATAGGAAACACGTAGCATTCTAAATTTTTAAATCACTTTAAGGTAGCTAACCAGAAACTACAGAAATAAAATATGCAAGACAAAAAAAAAAAAAAAAAACAGAAAAAAAGGAAAGCAACTAACTTTTCAGTGCATCACACCTATGAGGATAGAATGTATGGCACTTATGTGATACTAATATTAACAATTGTTCATTTAAGCTGGGAATGACTCACAGACATTAAAGTCATATAAGGGCAAGAGCCACAGAATTAAAATGTGAAAATTAAACATATCTCCTTTTTTCTTTGTGAAAGCACTGCAAATGTAACGAGTACAGGTAACTCAACAAAAATTTTCGTATTTCATTTGCCCCCATTGTAGTGTCTTAAATTATTCTGTAATATTTCTACCTGTTATAAACAGTCTTATTTTTAAGGCCTGTATAAACTCTATTATGCTACTCAAACATACTGTTTTCTGTGTGCTACAAATGCCTTTATGAAAAAATAGCATAACTGGTTATAAATCATAGAATAAACCCAAAAAACAAAAGTTTGACATTTTCTAAGCTAGTGAGAAATAAATTATACCATGATGTACCAATATTAACTAGCATTCCTATGGTAGATTTTTTTTTCCTCCATAAAATTGAACAGTGCAGACAGAATAGGGCTTGGGCTACAGTTCATCACATTTGGTTTTCTTATAAACAATTAAAAGGCAATTTTGTTCCTCCATAACACATGTAGACATTAAATCTAAGGTTTTTAAAATATCAACTACCTATAAGAAAAGTAGTTTTAAATGGTTAAAAGGAATCAAAATACCAAAGTTTAGTGTGCCAAGAGTAGATATAAACAACCAAGAACAGAGTAGATCATTGGTATTGATTATTTAACATGAATAGCCCAAAATGAGTTCCAAAGTTTTTCCACCTTTACAAATAAAAAAAGGTGTCCTTTCCACAGTTTGGGGATATGCATTGTACATCCCTCCCAACAAGTATGAGTAAGGTTTTAAAAATGTTGTCAATATTAAGTTCTTCAGTACCTAAATTAGAGGACAGCAATTACAGTGGCAATGGTGCATCAATTCTCAAAACGTAGTTATGATCCAACACGAGTTGTGGTGGTTCTTTTATCTGAGAAAAAGCTTTTCAAAAGAAATACCTGCCCTATGCTAACCACCAGAAGAATGAGGGCTTCTCCTACTGACCAATAGGCCACTCTTGTATTTAGATCCTCTGCTCGGCTTCGGCCTT